GCTCTTTTCTTATAGAAGCATTTGGTGCCCCCTATATGTGACGAGCAAGGAGAAGCATGCATTTCAGAAAGGTAAAAGTAAAGTTAGATCTTCCACAAACTGAAGTGTGAATAAATTTGTGCCTCTTTAAATAATAGGTAGTGAGTGCAAGTTAACCTCTGGATTTTTGCAAGTCTTGAACTGGGATATGTGAAGAGTAGGGCCATTGGTTCTTTAGATTGGGAGGCAGCAAAGTGCCTCTCTTCTCTGGATCATGCATCAGGTGGCGGCAATCCCAGGGAAACAGGCAGTTGCTTTAAAGGGTTGCAAGCAGTATTCTGCTCTTGGTCCCACATGCTCAGTACGTGTGCAAAGGTCCCCTTCCCCAGAAGAGTTGTCACCTGCTCCTTGAGCAGGAACTGCAGGCCCAGGAAGTTGAGTCAGAACTGTTCCTCCCCATGTAGATCCTCCTATTAAACGCAGGAAATCAGAAGTCCAGGCAGTTCAAATGAATGTATAGGTTTATTGCAAGTTTAAGCTCTACAAGAATTTGAACAACCACTAATGGTCAAAGCAAATTGGTGGTAAATAAGAGCCAATGGAATTCAAGGTGGCTGGACTTAGATCTCTTGTGGGTGCAAAGGGACTAACCCGCTAATGACCCTTGTTTGAGCCCTTCTTCCCTCAGGCTCAGCCTGGTCACCACCTACATCTCCCAGCCTCCAATCACTGAATCAGCATGGCAGGAGCATCACCTGCTTGGCCCAGGGGGAGAATGTCAGAGGAAGAGCCCTCTGACACGCAGGCATGGGGGCGTAGTACCCCTCCCCACACCACCCCATAGGCTGAAGCAATTAGCATGTTTTATTACAGTCAGGTAATTAAAGTGCTTATATTGCTTTTTCAGCCCACAGATGAAAGAGTCTGTGAGAGAAACAAATGCAGATCTTCCTGGAAAGCAGAATATTGACACTGTTTTAGCTGCTGACAGTGAAGGAACTAAAAGCCCAGTTCCAGAAAATGGATTTAGTTCAACATCTGAAGCCTGCTCTAGGAGTCCTGCAAGAAGAGGGGCACTGGGGGGCCTCGGAAATCAGCAGGGGGAAAGTGTGCCAGTGAGTGGATGTGAAGGAAAACCGTCTCCTCTTGAAGAAGACAACCCAGTTTCTGCCCCAGAACCTGAAGCCTGCCCAGGAAAAAGCAGTGCCACCAGCCCTGGGAAGCAGATGGATGAAGACCTTTCCGATGCACAAAAGGAAGGTCCTGTGTTGTCAGCTGCAGCCACTTCAGATCTCCATAGCTGTTCCACAGGTAGCAGCATAAAGGGTTCCGCACATCCAGAAAGCCCCAGTCTCGTAGCTGCTGAAAGCAAAGCCAGTTTGCCAGTCCCAGAAGGTGCTTGTAGTTCTGAATTGATAGGCAGTCCACGTAGAGCGAGTCTTGGAGAAGACTGCTGCCCCAGTCAGAGTGACCTTGGCCCTCTAGCTGCTGAGCATGAAGGGAGCACCACTGCCCCAGAAAGCTCCTCTGGGTTGGAATTCACAGCCAATTCAAGCGATTCCACAGTGCCAGACGCAGCAAGGGATGCAGACGTTCTGAGAAACAAAACTAATGTTGGACTTTTAGTTTGCAGGCATGAAAGGACAGAAGACGCCTTTGCTTTAGGCGAGTCAGCTCATTCAGATAGCTCTGCAAATCTTACAGGCGAAGGAGATGAGGACAGAATTGAAGATGGGGACAAGACCGTGTCTTTAACTGCACAGTGTGAAGGAACTATTTCTGAATTGGTTGGAGACCAATCCTGCATTGCTGAGCTTTGCACCTTTTCAAAAGACTCTCTGACCGGAATGGTGAGGGTTCCTCTTCAAAATCCAGCTGCAGATGAGCATGAAGGAAGTCCCTCTTCCTCAGCTGTGAAAAATGGTACTACTCCAGGGTTGCAAGGAAACGTGTTGGAGAGCTCTTGTGAAAAGACAGTTTTTGACAAGCAAGGAGAAGCAGAACCAACCGAGCTTGGAAGCAATAAAAGCAGTGCTTGTTCAGAGTGGACTGGCTCTGATGTCCAGACAAAGATGGCCAGTTTAGAGGAAGCTCAGCTGGCAGACGTGAACATGGATTCCATTCCTTTGGCATCCAATGATGAAGAGGTCAGCTTTGAACAGTTCTTGCGAAGAAGAGGAGAGCCCGACTCTGCCCATTCTGATGCAAGTGAGCAAGGCAGCATTCACTTGGAGCCACTGACGCCCTCCGAGGTGCTGGAGCACGAGGCCACTGAGATCTTGCAGCAAAAGGGAGGCGTCCCGGCCTCAGCCAAGAAAACCGGGCTCGGCTCTGAGCCAGCTGACCTTCCTTCTGGAGGTGGCAGCCCGAGCCATGAGGACTTGACCAGTAACCAGGAGGAAGCCAGCAATGAAACCAGCTGAAGGAGGACTTTGCCTTGACAACACACAGATTGTGAAAGATGAAACAAGTGAGGCAGGGATGCCACTTGCCTGTTGCAAATTAGGTAGGCAGAGAGCCCAGAAGAAGCCTGTGACTTCTTACAATATATGAAGCCGGAGGAAAAGGTGTTACTGGATTCAAAGTAAGGGTTCTTACAGAAGCCACTTTTAAAAAAATAAAATGACTACCAGAAGAACACTCAAAGGGAAACCCTGGGCTGGGGGTTGCATTCCCATCCCATCAATGGCAACAGTTTGGGTACCTCTGGATCAGTGTGATCTTACAAGAGGCCAAGTTCACCTTAAAACTTTCAGTGAAAGTGGATGATTATAAATATATTTGTGAGTTTCCCTGTGTGCAAGCAGAACAAAATTGTACACACCTGTTTGTAGGAAAGGTGGGCCCCAGCTCTTCCTTTGGGGCAGTCACTCTTTTATTCTTTCTGTTAACGGCAGGCCCAGACAATACAAAGTGGCTTGAAAGAAACGGAAAGCTGAAAAGATGTAATCTGTTACCAAAAGGAGGAAGAAGAAATTTGGAAGCATTTAAGTCAGGTACTGAAGGGGGATTTTGGATCTAAATTTATGTCAAACAAATGGAAAGGGTGGGGTGGGGTAGGGTGGCATGAAATCCTTTTGATATACCGTAGTTAGTGAAGGAATGTATAACATGACTTAATAGGAGTTTGTTTTTCCAATATTAACACGCTTAATTAAAATGCTCCTCTAAATCTTGTAGAAAGTGATTTTGAACTTGGTTTGTTTTTATGAACTTAAATGTTTTGAATTTCCGTTAAGACACCGATGTACATATTTTGGAGTAAATATTTGCAAGAAAATATGGGTTTCGTTCCTTTTCATATGTATGTTTTTGAAACTGGCTGGTGGAATCTCAGGTTCTATGCTTGCTCACCCTTGGGAGGGCTCAAGGCTTTCTCCCCAGAAGGAATGTATTTAGAATCTGTTTAAGATTGGTACCATCACCTTAATTGCAGATACACTCGAACAGTATTGTTTAGCCTCAAAGGCACCACACATTCTGAGGCAAGGCTGTGCAGCTGCTTTCATTCGCCTTTCAATGCCGGAGAGACTCCTTCAGGCACACCCGCCACTGAGTAAATGTGAAGAAGATGCAGGTCTCAAGGCTGGTCATCTGTGAAGAGAGAGACAGGTTGCTGGGAAGGATCGCAGAGTCTGGTGTGTTTGAGGGGAACCATTTGCCCCTGAGAAAACTTTCTGGCAATCTCTCTCTCGTTGAGTAGAGCAGTGTGTGTGTTTGTTCATTGGAAGGATGAAAAAGGCTACCCAGCTTACAAATTATGACTGGCTACAAATTTAAAACCAATATGACAATAAAACACCACAACATATACACGGACAGGCATAGCCACTGCAGGCCACGGATAGAGGGCTACAAAGGAGCCATTTGGCTAGAGCAGAGAAAGGGAACCTTGGCTCTTTTATGACTCTGGATTTCAACTCCCAGAATTCCTGAGCCAGCCACGCTGAGGGAAAAGGGAGAGGTTTCCAAGCTGAGCCATGCTGGCTCAGGAATTCTGGGAGTTGAAGTCCACGAGTCCTAAAAGCCAAGGTTGCCTACCCCTGGGCTAGAGCGGAGGGAAACCCGGGAAGGAGGGCGAGTGGGCAGCGGAAAGACAAGCAGCCCCAACCCGTGTTGCTCAGTGGGCAGGAGTGGTGAGAAGGGTTGCCGGGAGGCTGAAATCCAAGCGCCCCCCCCAGGTCGGGTGAGAGGTTGGGCTTCTCAAGGGAGATTCGGGGGCCTGAGCTTAGCCTTGCAGGCGGCCCCCCACAACCCACGTGAACCTCTTTAAATCCAGGGCTTCTCAGAGCGGAGCCTGCAGCCGCTCGGCTGCCTACTTGCCGCTCGCGCTCCCTTCCGGGAAAACGCTTCGGGCCTGGGCAGAATTGCACCCAGGCTCCTCGGGGACCCCGCAGCTGTGCCCAGGGGATTCCTTTGGAGCGCCTGCGAGCACAAAGGCGGCCCGCCGGAGCTCAGGTGGCGGCGGCGCTTCGCTTGAGCGCGGGGCAGCCGGAGGTTCTGGCGGGCTGCGGCTCCCCGCCCAGGCGCGGTTGCCTGGAGACGCGGCGCGCTCCCCTGGTTTCCGCCGGAAGTGCGCCCGTTGCTAGGGAAAGCGGGCGCCGAGCTCTCGCCGCCGCTCGCCGTCCCGTGCCCGGCGGCTCTCTGGGCCCGCGGAGGGAGGCTTCCCGCGGCCATGGCGCAGAAGCCGAGCCGGCGGCAACCCACCGCGGCGCAGCTGATGGACCGCAAGCAACACGAGCTCTACTTCCAGCAGATGCGGGAGCGAGAGCACCGCAAGAAGCTGGAGCGCGTTCACCAGCTGGAGGTGATGTGGGAGGCCGAGGGCCGCGTGCAGCAGAAACGCGTCACGCGGCTGCTGCGGGAGGAGGAGCACGAGCAGCGCCTGGAGGAGGCCGTCCAGCAGGTGGGCGCGGGCGAAGGCCCCGAGGAGGCCGGCTCGCCGGGCCGGGCATCTCATGCCCCTCCGAGAGAGGGAGCAACATCCCAACCCCCTCCCCCCCCCCCAACGAAAAGTCTGTCGGTAGAAATATTAAGGTAATTGTGAATGTCAAAACACTGGCTTGCAAATTACCTGCTATTGCGCTGCACCTTTAATTCAATCAAGTACCGGTAGTTGCATTCTTTGGACGGTTTTGTAAGAATGATTATCAACCATAGCACGTATAATATATCTTGTAGACTTTTTGAGCCATCAAACAATTGCGGAGAAACATACACTGAAATTTATGTGATTCTGTGTTTGTCAGGCAGAAGAGAATAAAAAGCTAAAAGACCTGGAATTGCAGCAGGAAGAAAAACTGGCAACTGAATTAGCAAGATTAAACCACGACAAACTTAAAGATGAAAAAATGAGGCAACAAATCAAAGAAAATAGGTATTTCTTTTACTGACCATTCCAGGACTGTTCTGATTTCTGATTGTTTGAGGATCATCCTGATGGGAAAACCCACTGAAGAAGTTGTGGCTGGGACTCCTTCAGACATCCTTGGGAATGGAGGGTGAGGCTCAGAGAAAGTCCCTGCGTGTGCAGGTAGTCCTCCACTTGTGACCAGTTGTTTAATGACCATTCGAAGAAACAGTAGACTCTGAAACGGTGCTTTATGGCTTGTGAAGCACTGTTGTGAAATGTCATGTGCACACACATGATCACATCACCGTATTTTGCAGAAAAATGTTGCTGGTTTTTGGCAACAATTGCCCATTTGGGAGTCAACCACCACATGATTCTGACTTATCACCACATGGTCTACTTATAGAAATGTTAGAAAAATTGGGTTCAGTCACATAGGTGCCTCAACTTATGGCCAAAGTTCCAGCCCCGACTATGGTCATAGATCAAGGACTGCCTGTAGTCTCCATTAATCAGCTTGCACTCCAACTTCCTACTGTCACCCCATCCAGTGCCTTTCATACAAATTCTTTAGAGAGCTCTTGAATCAAATAATAATTTTCATAAGTTTTTTTGCCTGCTTGTTTCTAGTATTGAACTGCGGGAACTGGAGAGGAAATTGCAATCTGCATATATGAATAAAGAGAGGGCTGTTCAGATTGCTGAGAAAGAAGCTCTGAAATACGAAAAAATGGTAACTAGTTTATGGTATATTTAATTTTTAGACTTGATGAAATAAATGCTGTGAGAATGTTGGAAAACTGCAGAAAATGTAACTGGAGAAATACATAAAGAACATTGATGCAGTTACAGGTTGGTGACTGGGGATATGAATGTAGATGTACTTTTATATGCAGATCATGCTGTGATGTCTGAGAGCCTGAATGATTTGTAGCAAATCTTAGATTTTTGTGATGCAGTACAGAGAATGGGTCTGGAAGTTAACTTCTCAGACAAAAATAGATGTATCTGACAAGGAAGATGGAGTGAATGATTGCAAGTTATAAGTAAATAGGAAGAAAACAGAGCAAGTAGATGGATTTGTGCCAACAGAAGGAGGATGCAGAAATCTACCAAGCAATGAAGGAAGAGCAAGGAAGAGCAGCCAAGACAGAGAATGCTGTTGAAACGAGACGCAATCAGGAGAAGTTGCTCTATCAGCAAGAACTGGAGAAACAGCTGGAGGAAGAAGAAAGGCGGAAGCAGGCTGCTTACAAGGAGTTCCTTAGAGAGAAACTCTTGATTGATGAAATTGTGAGGAAGATCTATGAGGAAGATGAAAAGTTAGTTTATATTATGTTAAACATGCTTGGCTGAATTACTTGTACTTCCTTCAGAATGACTCTGGCAATCCGCTATGTCCATACCAGTGCATGCAACTGGGAAACTTTAGAGTGCCCACGGAAGGGGGTGAGGCAATTCAGAAAGGACCCATAGAGAAGGTTCCAAAGCTCCCTGTATAGGTTGCCAGGCTCCTCCAGATGCATTACTGAAGCTCTGCACTTTTCCCATAGGGCAAGACAAGACAGACTAGAGAAAAAGAGAACCACGCAGAAATTCATTGAAGAATTCCAAAAAGACCAGGCCCTGCGGAGGAGACGACAGCATGAGGAGATGGAAGAGGAAAACCGAAAGATCATGGAATTTGCTAACATGTGGCAGGAGAGAGAAGACAACCGGATGGCAAAGATTCATGAAAATGAGGAGAAAAAAAGGAAGCTCCAGCAAATGGTATTGACATTGCCGTTTTGTCCCCCAGATTTGGTTGGTTGGGAGCTGCCTAAACTTGACTTTTCTCTTGCTTGTAGCTTGCAGACATCCTGAAAAAAGAACAGCAGGAGCGAGAAGAACTTGAGCAAATCCGAGCTGAGTTGCACTTTGAAGAACAGGCTGAGACAGAGAGGAAGAAGGAGATGGTAAATGCCTTTGGCTCAAGTCCCAGATTGGCATGGGGAGCCAGGGGGGCAGAAGGGAAAGGGGGATGCCTGAGTCCTGCTCTTCTGGCTGAGGGAACAAAAGGTAGTTGGAGCTGAGCTTTTGTTCCATGTGCAGGAAGAGTTGGAGAAGAGGATCAGACAGCGCCTAGAGCTCCAGAACTCCTATGAAGAACAGCTGGCTTTAAGGAAGATGCTGCTGCAGGACTTGAAGGAAGAGGAGGAGGCCTTTGGCCAGGCCATGTTAGCTAAATTTGCAGAAGATGACTGTATTGAGCAGATGAACGCTCAGAAACGAAGAATGAAGCAACTCGAACATAGGAGAGAAGTGGAGAAGCTGATCCAAGAACGACGCAAACAGGTTATTGCAGACAAGGTAAGCTGGACAAGTTAAAGTGAATTCTAGAACTGAGGAGGCTGGGAAGGCCATTCAGTCCAACCCCCTCCTGTGCAGGTTCTGTAACTGATGAGCATCCACTGGTTGATAGCAATAAGACTTACATACCGCTTCATAGTGCTTTACAAGCCTCTCTAAGCAGCTTATAGAGTCAGCCTTTTGCCCCCAACAATCTGGGTCCTCATTTTTACCAACCTCGAAAGAATAGAAGGCTGAGTCAACCTGGAGCCAGTGAGAACTGAATTGTCGAACTGCTGCAGTAGCCTGCAGTACTGCATTCTAACCACTGCGCCACCAGTGATAGATCATGCCCAGAACTTCCTTCCTACTGGTACTAGTACTAGCTTATACCTGCTGTTCTCCTACCCCTGGGAATATGAAATAAGCTTATTTCCTCTTCTGCATATGAATACTGTGATCATATCTCCCCTCAATCATCTTCTTGGTCAGTAAAACATATCGAGATTCTTTAACAATTCCTCATAATGCTTCCACACCTCTTTTGAACTTGCTCCAATTTATCACGGTTCAGAACTGCATATGGGACTGAAAATGGCGCCTGACCAGGGGACGGTAAGGGGGAGCTCTGGCTTTCTCTGTAATGATGCACAGAGACTGCATTTGCCTTTCAGCAGCTTTATCATAATTCTGGCTCATATTTAATTTGTAGTCAACAAGGACACCCAGATCTATTTCACGTGTATTAAAGCCAAGTTAGCTGTCCCACAACCAGTATCTGTCTCTTATATTTTTCTTACCCCAATTCAGAACTTTACATTTCCCTATATGAAATTCTAGCTTACTTAGTTTTGCCACCTTCACAAGTAAACACAAATTTAGCCATTCGGCTAGTAGTGGCTCCTTTATGCCTCAGCATAAAAGATCAGTATCTGTTGAGCTGAAATAAAGCAATACTAACAAACCCAGCCTTCTCCAAACTAGCATTTGGAGTAGAACACAAGCATATTTGCACCTGCGGGACACTCCAGGAGACCCTGTTGGGGCATTTGAGTGCAGATTGCAGTCTGTATTAAGAACAGCAGCTGATAATTTGTCAGCCAAAGCACGAAACTGCTTTTGAAGTGAAAAGGTTACACGCTTCAATCTTACTACCATAGGAAAGCGAACTAGAAGAAAGACAAATAGAAGAAAGGAGAAGAGGAATCGTTGCTGATATTATTGAGGAAGAGCGGCAGAAGCTTCTTAAAGAGCACGCAGTTAAACTGCTGGGGTATCTTCCACGGGTAAGTCGAGGCAGTCTAATGACCAAATGGACTTGCTGGGTATTGGGATGGTGTGGACCAGAGTTGTCACAGGCTGGCATCAGGCCCCAGGAGGAAGAGTGCGGTTGGGTTCTCTAGTGCCTCGACCATGGCCCTTTTCCTCTCCTCAAGGGGAGATTATCCTTCCTCCAGATAGGACTGCACATTCTTGTATGGGAAACTAGATGGCCCAAAGATTTTAAATGTCATGGTGTCACCCAAATCCTGCAGTCCTGCACCCACATTGGGTTCAGCTGCCCTGAAGTGGCTAAATGGTTATAGTATTTTCAGCAATATTTCAGTGGGTTTCCATGTTAAAGTGCAGTTGCACTGGATCTCTAGAGCAACTTCTGCAGGAGGGCCTGCTGCAGCTGAAACCAGAAGTAGCTGGACTGCTTTGTAATTGACTGCAGTTGAATTTTGAAAGGAGGTTTGTGATAAAGTGACAGAATCTCTTTTAGTTCTCATTTGTATGAAAAAGTTGTGGATATTTACTGAACAAGGATGAACTATTGTTTTGAAGGGAGGGTTTTACATTTAAAGGAAAAAAAGGCTATTTTGTCTGTATAGTTTTTAAAAACTGTGCTATTAAGTAGTTTTGAAAATAGCTCTGATGATGTTCTATTGAACTTTTTTCTTCTGGGGTATTCAGGGAATCCTTAAAGATGAGCAAGACGTCAATATGCTTGGAGAAGAGTTCCGGCAAGCTTACCAAAAGAGGCCAGCAGGGGGGCCATCAGAAGTCAACTGAGTTTTCATTGCTTCACCTGAAGAACCCACCTAGAAGTTACTCCACCCTATGGACTGCAGTCGCTGCTACACAGACTTAAAAAAAAAAGATGACTTTTATATTGATAAATGCAATATTCTTTGCAATATTCATTTATATTTATTATTATTATTTGGTTGACCTTTCTTCAGCTCTGGGCAATGTAACTGCCTCTTCCCCGTTCTTCCTCACAACAACCCTGTGAGGAGCCCCAAGTCATCCAGTGAGCTACCATGGCTGAGAGTAGATCTAAATTCAGATCTCCCCACTGCCATTCCAGCACTTCAGCTCTGTGCTATACTGGTTGTATCTGGATTTAATTTTAGTTGAAAGAACTAGAGTTCTCTTTGCAGATAGATTGATAATTCCAAATATTAGAAGCATTTTTAACAAATTGTATTATCCTTTGCTTAGTTAGCGATTTAAGGAAAACAAAAAACCATGCCATTAGGGCACTCTTGAATGTTAATAGCTTTTTTTTTAGTGTTGCAGCTTTCATTACTTTAATTAGCTATTATTTTTGATACAATGCACTATTACATTTGTTCTATTAACTGAAAAATGCTCAAGATCAATTATTTCCTGTAGTTTTATTTTGAAGAAAAAATCCTTTGTAAAGCTACTTCCAATAATAAAGGTGAGCATCCACATTATTTCAATAGCCTAGATGTTTAATGACAGCTATCAATTTAAAAAGTTGGCAAACGGTTAGATTAGCCCTGCTAAGTGATAGAGAATGAGAAAACAGTTATTAGCAAAAACATTTGGTGGGAAGAAGTGAACAGTGTAAAGCATATATTTTTTCCCCCAGAAAAAAGTGTGGTTCAATTTCACTCTTCTGAAAATGCCCACATCTTCTGTAGAGGGGTGATGCTGTGTATTGAATTAAGGGTTGCCCCACTCCAGAGCCTTCATAAATTCTTCTTCCGTGAAAGAAAGCATCTTGGCAGATTCAATGTGCATCTAGGGGGAAAGATTTTTACTCAAGTAAGAAACGCTTCTTCGACCTCTCTGACAGGTTTTACTCATCCTCTTTCACTGCATTATTTCTTGTAATGTAAATCCCCCTCCCCACAGTATATTTTTGACTGACTGGCAACTCTTGTTGAAGGGTCACCCAAAGACAGAAACCATTTTCCACCTCTCAGCAATATCTTGAGATGGCCCAAACATGAAGGGCTGCTAACAAGGAACCATCTGAAACTTTGGTATGTCCTTTGTGATCTGAGATGGGAATTAAAACTGATTTTGGGGAGTTTAACATCTTTCATTCCTTCCCCGCCCCTCACCTCCCCCCCAAAAAACCCCAGCCACAGAGATTCCTTATACTTATTGTGGATTTATTCTATGACCCAGTTCATTATTGCTTTTTAATCCAGACTGAATTTCAGTCAAAATGAATAATGAATTATGCTACACTCCTAATTTTAATTCAGTTAAAGTTACTAATAGCATAGGATAGCTTGCCTTTTGTCTTTTTAAAATGTCAGTAAGTTTTAATTGCTTCTTGAAACCTGCCACTAGCTCTTCTTTTTGTTTCTCCAGTCTCTTATTTTCAATTTTTAGTTCTTCAAGTTTTTTGTGCTCTTGGTTGACCACATCCTAGTACGAAAGGAAGGATACAGAAACTCTTACATCATTATGAATATAGCCCTTGGACATGTCTGAAGGAGAGGGCAAATGCCATTCACAAATGACAAGGCTCAGCAGTGCTATAGCTTCCTATCAAAACACCCCATGTGCAGTTCATATACAGCCATGCCTTGAAAGATTTATGATTTTGTCACTAGGAGAAAGACAGACCACAAAGTATGTGCTTGCAGAATTATTTCATGTTATAATTGGTACTGAATGCATTGCTTGGACCATAGGAAAAGGCCATGCAGCAAATTAGAACGAAAAGAGAGAAACTGTAATCATGAAGCTTCCTGGGTGACTTTAGCCTTATCCTATTTGATAACTGACACGAGAAAAAATTGGGACGATGTTTCCTGAGCAGTTAGTAGAAAAAGAAATGATGGGTAAGGGGGAGGGGTGCTATCCTAGGTTGAGGGGCTTCCAAATTCACATTTCTTGCTAACCTATACCCCCTACCTTGTTACTTTGCTTCAGTTTATTCAGCTCCATTTTGTATTTTTCTGCTTCCTCAAGAGCTCGGTTCAAGCGAATGTCCGTCGTGCCCTGGGTTGCCGCCGCTTGTTTTTGTGCTCGCTTCAGATTTTCCAGTTCCTGTTGAATCAAGTTAAAACATGGTCAACCCTCCCTTGGCTTCAGAGGAGCAGCCCTTTGGTGCAGCAGCAGGAAGGAGAGCCTCAACATCCAGCCTTGTCTGCCAGCCAGCCAGCCAGGGACAAGGTGGTTGTAGTGGCACCTCCACTGCCTTTTTTTGAGGGATAGCTTCCCACAAACGTGGATAAAGCCCTCAATATCACTTTTTTTACAAACAAGGTAGAGGAGCATTCCATGGTGAGGATGTTCTACAACTATTTATTTCCACTTTTTCTTACCTGCTTCAGTTCTGGGAAATTCATACCGGATAATTTATGTGTCCTTGGATTAACTTGTGAGTCATTAGAACTTCATCAAATCATGGTTAAACAAATCAAAACTTAGCATGATGTGCAAGTCTAGCTCCTCTGAGCAATTTCACACTTATCCTTCTATGGAAGGCAAGAGATCAAAATGGCTTTGTTACCTTTTCTAGCATGGAGAGTTTCTGTTGCAGACTCTCGCTTTTTCGGTTGGCTTCCTCTGACAGCAATTTGTACTTTTCTACCTGAGACTGGTGTAGGCTGGCTGCGCGTTGCAGCCGGCCACGTTCTTCTTCAACCTCCTTAAGATGGCTGCTGACATTTTCATTCTCTTCATCCTGCAGGCCCAAAATTAAGAGCCACAAGAGAGTTGAAGCTTGTTAGGTAAATGCTTTGTTTCTTCTCTGCAACTCTATCATTCTTTTCCCCCAGAATTCTAACTTTAGATCAAAACTTCAAAAAATTAAGCACATACCCTGTTTGGGTGGTGGTCCTTGGGGCTCAGAGATATTCTCCTCCCTGGACACACATTTATTGTTTTCCTTGGGAGGCCTCAGTTCCTTTTCTCCTGGGACATCTCTTCCAACTTCCCTACCAGGCCTTCCCTCACTCTCCTATATTCTGTGAGGAAAACCCGGCCTCTCATGAGGAAGAGTTGTGAATGTGAACGTGTAGAGGACTTGGTAAATGTGAAATAAATAACTTTGTGTGGTAGACCACATAAAGTACAATCCATGGTTTAACACAAGCAAGTAACCATCTGTTCTTACCTTCTTGCTACATTCTTGCCCAATGGCATCTAGCTCCTCCTGCATCACACGTAGCTTTGCCTTTAAGAACCGGATCTGCGCCTCTGCAAGTTGGCAACAAACTCCATATAACAATCTAGCTTAGGTAGAACCTACAATCTAGCTTCTAGAGCCCATGTTAGGACAACTCTCTTTAAACCACTCGGAAGAAACATTTGCATTAATATACATGTTTTGAAAAGTGGCAATTTCTAGAAGACTTATTTTCCCCTGCTACAAAAAGAAAGGGAGAATTAGTGAAAAGCAAAACTGCCCAGCAAACAGCCTTACTCACCTGCTCCAAGTTCACTTCCTGTACTGGGGATAAGATTATCTTCCAGATCAGGCAGGTTTCCTTCTTCCAGCTGCCCTTCAATTCTTCCAATTAGTTTTGTCAGGGAGCATCCTGGAGCAGCGACATCAGGATTGCTTGAGTCAACCTGTAATCTTGATTTTATACTGAAAAGTTGAAGGCAACATGAAGAGGAACATGAATGTCTAGGAAATTGGTAAAAACAACACTGCATCCTTGTGGCTATTTGACCCAATATGAATAAAAATTATCTACAGTCATAGAACAGCATCTGTACAAAACAGTACCACAAAATATAGATGCATATTAAAATTGTAACATGGAGCTAATCATCTGTGTGAAAGTGAATTGATCCTCTTTAAATCCAGAATCATCTGACAGCTAAGAAGATTGAACAATGTTTTGCAACCTTTTTAGACATTTCTATAGAGCTATCTGCCAACAAAAAGAACACATTTTCAAGGCAGCAGTCCAGCAAGTCTGAACAGGTAAGATTCCATGAAGCTCCCTATTCAGGGATAGAGACAATCTAGAAAAGGATATGGACATCCCTTCCCTCCAGCATTTAAAGCTCTTCCCTCCCTGTATAAAAGGGGAAATTGCTAAGACTCAGAATAGTGGCGTCAGAGATGGATACGGCTCTTTTGACCCACCTGCCTGGGCACAGATTGGCTGTCTTGTGTCCTTTTCAGACTATTGGATACAAGTAATTGAATTCATCTACAACCATCGTATTATGAAAGCTGCAAGATCCCAAAAGCTGTCAATGCCGATCTTGTTTTATACTCAGCTCTACATCCTGTACCTTAAGAGAGGTCTTTTTCCCTTTCTTCCAGTCAGTGGTCGACCTCGAATTGTAGGTGCAGCACCTGCTTTCTTCTTGTGTAGCTGCTAAAGAGAAGTCAGAAAAACCGTTTTAGGTACTTGGTAGGCATGCAGGTTCTTAATGTTTTCTTTATTTAAAAATGTCTATTTAAAGCAGTTATTAAAAGCAGGAGTTGGGCTCCTTCACAAGGTAGGGCCCAGGCTCAGCTTTAATGAGAGAATGTGCAGTTTGTTGTCTATGTGTAAGAAACAGGTGCTTCTAGACTTGCTTTTCTTAGGAGGTGAGGCTGGGCTAGAAACTCTTCAGCTTCCCCCCACAAGAGACCTACTGACTTACTAGAAAGATGTAAAATGAAAACTCTGTTCTGGTACCTTGTTCTGTGCAAGAGGAACTGGTGGTTCAGGAGAATTTATATCACTGGAAAGAAGCAGCAGCAGCAGCAGCAGCAGAGAGGAGCATGTTGTGATAAGCATAATGTTCAGATTTCATCCACCCCAATGAAAGAATTGAAGGTGCCCCCCCCCGTGCCCCATCTCTTGTCATCTGAATTATGGAGGGGCCCCGACAAACACAGGTCCGAGCGAAAAGCCGGCAGGGCGGAGACCTCCCCCGTTGCCCTCTTTGCCTCTGCCCGGTAGGGAACGGGGGCGGGGAAATCGAGGGGCTCGGGCGAGGATATACCCGGAGGGGGGGGCAGAGAAACGGGGGGGCGACCTTGCCGAAGCCAGGCTTCCGAGCGCCCCCTCCCCACACTCGGGCCCGGGGGCACACCGGGGGTACCTCTCCTTGGCCGCCAACGCCGCCGCCGCCGCCTCCTCCAGCGCGTCCCCGCGGGCCGAGGCGGGCCTGGCCAGGGCTTCTCGTCGGTCCCTCTGCAGAAGGGCGGGGAGCCGTCAGAAGCGCCTCTTCGGCCACCAGAGCCCCGGGCCGCTGCCGCTCCCGCCCCCGCCGCTCACCATCAGCTGCTCCGCCTGGCTCATCACCGCCGCCGCCTTCGCCTCCAGGGCCGCGTTCAGGCGCCTGCAACGGGCGGGTCGGGGCGGTCAGGGCCGGGAGGGGAGCAGGACGGGCGCCCCATCACCGCCCCGTCCGCGACCTACCTGTACTCCTCCTCGCGGGCAATGAGGGGCGCGGCGCTGCGCGGCCGGGGCGGCTGCTCCCCCGCGGGCTGCCCGTCCGCCGCCATGGCCCAG